TAAAAAGAATTTGATATATAAAAACTTGTATTCATTATAATAAATTAAAAGTTAAATATATATTATAATTATTTAATTATTCTGAGTAGATTTTTTAAAATTAAAAATTTCAAAAAATGTGAAATATTAAAATAAACATAAAATCTCTTTACCTTTGAGCTAATCCTGTTTAGCCCGAACCGAATCCTTCGGTGCTGCAACGCCAAATTCGTGAGAAATATAACAGCATCTGCATCTAAAACAAAAATAATCATATCGCTTAAAATTATGGTATATCAATATTATAATAAATTAAATTAAATTTATATTATAATAATTATTTAATTATTCTGAGCAGATTCTTTAAAATTATTGACTTTTAATCGTGAATATTGAAATAAACATAAAATATCTTTACCATCGAGTCGATTCTGCTTTATTCGAACCAAATCCTTCGGTGCTGCAACGCCAAATTCGTGATGAAATGTAATTATATTTTTATCTGGAACAAATAATCATCGATTAAAATTATGGTCGGTATATTTATTATAATTAAATTAAATTAATATTATAATAATTATTTAATTATTCTGAGCAGACTCTTTAAAATAATTAAATTTTAACCGTGAAATATAAAAATAAATATTAAATCTATTCAACTTATTCAAGCAGATCCTGCTTTGCTCGAATCAAATCTTTCGGTGCTACAACGCTAAATTTGTGAGAAATGATAACCACATCTGCATTTAAAACAAATAATCATATCGATTAAAAAATTATAGTATAATCATTATAATAAATTAAATTATATTTAAACTATAATAATTATTTTATTATTCTGAGGAACTTTTTAAATTAATTAAATTTAAACCGTAAAATATTAACGTAAATATAAAATCTACATAAAATCTCTTTACAAGAGAAAGAGAGAGAGAGAGGAAAAGAAAGAGAGTGAAGAGAGAGAAAGAGAACACTATAAACTCGCGATTTTGTCGCGTATTTCGATAATAAACATAATTAATATATGTACTTCTCACTCTTTACTAAATATTTCTCGAGGATTTATGGTAAAGTTTCCGAGACCAATCTATGATATTGAATAAATGTAATAATAATAATATAGCGGCGCAATTGTCGGTGTAGTCGACTTGTTGTTTTTACGAGAATTATGAAATTATTTCGTCGCTTACCAATACTTCGACATGATGATCCGAAAGTACGACCGAAAACGCACAATCACCCACTTGAAATACGATCGACAACGTCAAAAAAACTGCGGAAATCGCGTCGAAAGCGCAGGCGATACTTCTCGCGATGCATCCTCGGAAACTCGCGCGCGCGAATTTTTGGCGGCAAAAGCTGTGACGTCACGGTTTCGGGGGTTATGAAGCGGGTTGAATCAGGTTGAACGAGATTTATAATCGATGAAGTCAATTTCGCGCGTACGATCGCGATCACGATATCGAAACATGCAACGCGATCGTATTTATACAATAATTAATGACATTAACGATGATTAAAGATATTAATTACTACTCACATTCGTCCTTCGTAGACTAGCGAAGAGAGAAGCGCAAACCACAAACGCTGATTATGAACAACGCGTTAGTGCAGTAGAGAGAGCCACAGAGGGCAGCATCATACTAGATTGTGTTCGAAAATATATTCACTCACGACGAATCGTGCGATTGACCAATCAGAATAGAGAGATACTCGGTCTCTGATTGGTCGGTCGAATTCTACACTTTGACTGACAGATTTGCGAATGCAACCCTGAATTTTCTATCGACGTGATATGGCGTCACTTACGAATCGCTAATTTCTTTTTTAAAGAGAAATTACATATTTTTTTAGTTCAGCGCAGGGCAGAACAGCAAATAATTAATGATTAAACTCAAATACAATTCGACATAATCATATTTCAATTAATTTAATAATTAATAAAATTAAAGCTAAAGATTTTAATATTGAATTTTTATGCATTGCATAATTGATATATATTTTTATGTACGCATTGCAATAATAAGTTTTATGCATAGTATTACAATTTTTAAGATTTCATTATTAAAGAATAATATAATATATTGTTTCGTTAAGATTAGATTAAACAAAATGAGAAAAACTTTTATTGCAATAATGCATGCATAAAAATATATTATATAATTATGTAATGCATAAAAGTTCAATATTTAGATTTTTAACAGAAGATGTAATATATATGTATACATATATATATGTATAAAAAAAGAGAATTAGATTAAAATAAATTTTCAAAGAGAAATTACATATTATATATAATTTATCTCTCGTTCAATTTTTCAGTTCAGAATGATTAAACTCAAATGCAATTAGATATAATCATATTTTAATACATATTTTTAATAGTTAACGCTTCATTATAATTCTACCACAATCTCTGAGAATGAATAATATATGTATGTATTGTAAATTAATATGTAATCAAATTAGAAGTGATTGAATGAGAATAATTTGTAAAATTATTATTGCAATATATATGTATGCAAGCATATATATATATATATATATATATATATATATATGTGTGTGTGTGTGTGTGTGTGTATGCATATATCCATTTTATATCGTAAATTATAGCCGTCGTTATAATCGAATCAATTTGCATGAAATTCACAAAAAATCATAAATCATATGAATACTTGTCACAGAAGCAAAATGTATGAGCATAATAAAAATGTACAGATTATTATCAGTATAAGAGAAATGATATATAAAAAAATGCCAATAAAATTACGCAAACACATAACTTTTTTAACTAGGAAATTTGATCATGCATTCTTTTGTGTTTAATATTTGATTAACATTTGATTTTCTTTTTAAAATATTTTAATCTTAAATAAAAATTTTTGAATCTATCAATATGGAATGAAGAAGAAAATTTTCATATGTATTTATTAATGCATAGTAAAGACGTTTCATATATGTATATGTATATATGAAATAAATTTCATTGTGTCTTGCTTGATGATAAGTCACATGAATATCCATCATACAAAAATGTTTACATCTGCGCATAGTCTTTGGCTTCGTTTGAAATGAAAATCCTAGCGTAGCACCACTAAATTTACATGTTCAGCGCGTTGATGGTACGCTCTGAAAATGTATAACATAGAAGGTGGACGCTCCAGGATTATGCGAGGACTTGCATAAGTTATAACAGGATGGATTCTGGCGATTACATCGGCTGCGACTGACCTGAGCTCACTTTGCTGCAAGCAAATCCATTTAAAGTCGTCTCCATAGCAAACGCGTTCTTTTCCTAATCCCGTGTTTTACTTCTTATTATTTCTACTTTTACGAAACAAGCTTCTTCTTCATGCGCAAAGTGCACATTTATGAGATGGTTGTTGTCTTTTAAATGAAAAAAGAGATAGTTCTATAGATTCTATAGGTTGAAACTTATTTGAAATATTTATACTTATTATTTTATCATCTATTTAATCAATAGAATATATTAAGAATATGATATATATAATATTATAATAGACCTAATAATATATAAGAATATATATAATATTAAGAGTATAATAATTGATCTTGTTTAATTATAATAAATTTCCTCTATCTTATTAAGAATATAATATAATTGATCTTATTTAATAAATTTCTCCTCGTATTTTTTATATACAAGAGATGTCCTATTTTAAATATATTGTTACTCTTTCTACAAGAATATGCAGATAGACTGGAGCAATTATCTTCACCAAAATAATATTCAGATAACTGAAATATTTCTTTTAGTAACGAAATATATAGTTACGAAATACAAACAGATCTCGTATAATTGAAATGCTCTCGAAGTTGCGAGGGCAAAAAGAAACGGGATGAATGTTTTCTTTTTCGTACTATGTAAATTGCATTACTGCGCAGCTGTTAGATATCATCGTTATGTGAAAAAAAAATCAAATCGCCGGTGTACCGCTCGTTTCCTCCTGGAGCAGCTATTAAATATTCATATTCTCGTGGGCGTGAACTTTAAAATTCTGTCATGAACGTCGAACTTTTTCTTTATCGCGCGTGCGCCACTAAACTTTTTCTTTGATTGAAACATAAAATGTCGTTGCAAAGAGTGACTTCAGATTTTATACAATATTTATTTTTTATATATCATATTTTTTAATAATATTAACTATCATTCAATTAGTTGGTTTTAAAAATTGAACCTATTATTACTTTTAAAAAATCAATATCTTGTCAGTGTATTACAAATGTTTCAGAAAATTAATATTAATTTCAAATTTATAAATTATTTCTAATGTGTATATTTTTTATATATTTTACTCATTAATAATTTTTAGATTAGATAAAAATCTTTAAGTCAAATGTTGCTTGTATTTGCAAACTCCTATTTGCGTTTGATATAAGTATAATTATTCTCTTATTTCCTATTTTTTAAATCTAAAACGTGTCATATGAAAATAAGAATTCCTACGTATAATTAAAATAAATGTCCTCAGAATTATTGTTAAATTTAATTAATTTAAGACTTAAGATTAATCTTCTAATAATCTTCTGCCTAATTTTATGTTCTTGGATGCTTGCAATCTTCATAAGCGCAACATATTGTCTCAATGCCACATCGTTTATCGTTGCACCAGCTAGATCCTTAGTAGCGTTTGCAATGCATAATCACACATGGTATTTTAACAATATTGTCGATCTGATATTCACTAATATAAATGCATTTCCACAAACTATTGAAAGAGCCATATTCACACTCTGCTGCTGATGTAAATACATTGGAGTGTTTCCTGTTTGTTTCTCTTAATAGTTTCTTTATTGTACTTTTCTCTCTGTATGTTCAACATTAGTTAAATACTAAATTATAATTATATAAATCATATTATACACATTTTAATGCTACACTATTGCAATAAACTTATGAAACATTTTGTAATTATTATATTGTGTATGTAAATGTGTATTGATGAATAGATAAATATGTAAAAATATAAAATTATATTTAAACTTGTTTACATAAATACCTTGACATATAATAAAAATGTATTTTTAAATAAAAGGTTTACAAAGAGTCACTGTATGATCCACTCCACAGGCAACTTTTTTTACTTTAGCTCCTACCGCTACCTGTTATGAGAAGACAATAAATTATTGAATTATAAAACACCAAAATGGATTGAAAAATTAAATTGTCTTTGACATTTCTTTGTAATTTTTATAGTTTTTCTTTTATTACTTATTTATTAATTAAAAACTTTTGTTAAACTTTTTAATATTTCATAGGAATAATTTCAGTAGCATTTTAAACTTAATAAGAGCCACTATATTATGTATTTCTTAATAGCACTTTTTTTCAGGTAATTTAAAAAAGGAAAATTCTAATATTAAAATACTTAAATTATAATTTTTAGATAGAAAAAATTTTTAAATAATCTCAGATTGCCCAAAGTTCTCGTAAGCTCAAGTGCATTTACTAAAGATCTTTAATTAAAGCAATTCAAATTTTCATATTGATATAATTTTATACTCTTGTTACAAAATTGCTTTTTAATTTTGTTTTATTTATATGTATTATGATGATTAATCTGTGGCATATTATAAAAATAATAATAAGTGATATAAAGAGTTTGTAGCAAGTCACTAATCCTGCTAAAGTGCTATGCAAATTTAATCAAAATTATCATGTTTACTGATAATAATAAATAACTATACCCTTAAAGGAAAAAATTGATCCTTCATGTGTCCTAATCCTAAAGATCCAAATTTATTACCACCCCACATATATAAATCGCCTGAGTTGGTCAGTGCTGCTAATTGACTAATTCCACAATGTATTTTTGTTACCTATGCATATAAAAATAGACTTATTAATAAAATACGTATTATATAAAAGTTTCTAGATTTTATTAAATTCGTAAAAGTTTCTAGAATTTATTAAATTCGCATTAATTACCTTGATATCACGATTATACTCATTATTGCCAAATAATGTAGGAGGAATCCTAGTTGGTTTAAATACTTTCTGCACTTGAGGACCAAGACCAAGTATGCCATATCCCCATACATAGACATTACCAGCATCTATAATGTAAATATATTAATAATGTAAAGATATATTAACACATATAAAACATGAAACAAATACTTTGATGTAAAATAACTTAATATGTTAAATAAAATTTTAGTAAAAGTTTTTAGTATATTTTGGTTAAAGTTTTACTCATTTGAAATATGAATTCATAATTTGAAAATATGAATAATAATATGATTAAAATATAAAATTATAATTTATAATATTACATAAAGTATACATTAATACTTACTGTTTAAAATCATGCAGAAACATCCACCTGTTGCAATGTCTATAATATGTCCTAATTTTTTAGGTATATTTAATTCTGTAGCAATATTTACTTGGTAACTATCTTCTTTAATTGATAATTGTCCATACTCTGAATTACCCCATCCATAGACTTTCCCTTTATCTTAAACAAGAATATTTTTCATGCACATGTTTTGGTTCTTTATAATTATTTATATCAAATTCAGAAAAAATATGATTTTGCATACCACTAAGAGCTAATACACAATCAGCAGTACAAGCAACTTTGATTATATGTTGTCCTGCCAGATCACCTTTAACTAAACTTGGTCGATGTTCATTTCGATAATGCGCAAGACCTGTTTGTCCATCAGCACCCCAGCCAAATGTATATACCTCACCTATCTCTGTCAAGAGTATGCTATTATATAATGTTAATGAGAAAAATATAGAAAGATTGCAAATATGTAATATTAGAATTTTAATTAGAATTTAAATTAGAATTTAAATTAGAATTTTACCTGTGATCTTGACCAGCTGCTACTGCAGTAATTTTATTTCCTTTAATATCAGGAATATGATGAATAACCATACTTTTCTCATAACTCTCATTCAATATAATTGGCCTACCACATTGGCCATATGCATTATTACCCAATGTAAACAAGCCTTCTGTTGTTAATATTAACGAATGTGCTCTTCCAGCAGCCATACTTATAATTTTTGTCGAAGTATTCTTTAATGGCAAATGTATTGGTCTTAGGTTAAACACCATATTATTAGGAAATTTTTTGTCAAAATCACTATAACCTATTGCAAGAAAACTAGATTGTAATACAATTCTCAACATCAAAATCTGTTTTGAACAGAGCAAAAATAATATAATTTTAATAAAATGGTTCAATCCTTACCAAGTTGTGAATCCGTATTTATTCCAGTTCCATAAACAACATTTTTATCAGGAAAATGTACAGCACAAATTGTAAAACCATATCCACAAGCAATGTCTGTCACTTTATATCGTTCAGCAAAGGATAATCTTTTTGGTTTTGAAAGATATGAAAGCTGTTCTTTTTTTAACGTTCTTACTTCTCCAAGAGCTCCGTGATTTGCAAGACCCCATACGTAAACCCTGCGAGTATCTTCTTGACTTATTGGATATTGAAAAACTGGAAACAATGTAGAATTTAATGTAATGTATCAATTGAATATTCAAAACACATATTACTTCATATTTTCTTACTTGGTAATGTTTCAGATTTAGACTTTGGAGGTATGAATTTCTGACTGCTCGAGACAGAATGTAAAGTTCTAGCTCTCTTTACGAGTTTCAAATAACTTCTTCCTGTATTAAATATTATTTTTCCTAAAGTATCTCGAATCATATTTAAGTTTTAAATAATTATTCCTTTTCTTTCGTTGTTAGTTTTCATCTACCAACAAAGTCATCAAAAGTTGTTCAACAAACCAGTTGCAAATTATTTTGCTACAGTTTGCTGCAAATCATGTAACAAAAACAGCTGATTACAATTTCTGTACAATATTACACTGTTTCTTTTTTTATAAATTTTCGCCCATTTCGACGAGATGTAACAACACGTGTCACGTGTTTGTAATTTTACGACGGTAAAATTGTATTAATATTAATATAATGTATTAATATTAATATATTGTATTGTATTTATATTGTATTAATTATTATTGTTTTACGCGTATACGACCGTGATTATTTCCCTCATTCTTGAATTCTTGACTTTGTAGATCCGGCCTTATTGACAGCAGAATTCGTCGCTTCATTTCCGGTTTCCATTGAAACGCTCCCGTCTAGAATCTTTCACTAGAATCTTCAATCGGGTTGGCAGGCGTCGCGCGACTAGCGCCGAGCGCGTTCACGAAAGGAACTTCGCCCCCTGTACAAATGGCGACTTACGGTGAAACACGCTGTATCGTGTATAACCCGTAAAGGCTCGTGTCCGGCCCGTTTCTTCTCGTTTCTCCGACGTGGAAATCAAAAGCTGAGGCACCCGGCGCAGCCGAAATATCTAGTTAAACTGACAGGACCGAGAAGAACGCGTGACGTATCGTCCCGAATTAGTCGTCCCGATAATAAATAAACGTGCAAATAATGGGAAACGTGATAGCCGCGTCCGCGCCTCCGCCGTCTTACACTCCGCCACCGGGACCCGAATTGACGCCGAATTTAGGGAAACAGGATGTGTCCACGGACGTGTACTCTCCCGCCGAGACGCCCGTTCAGGTCGAGAATCCGGGTACCATCGAGGACCTGCACAAAAAGTGCAAAGGTATCTCGTCAAAGTGCACGTCACGAGCCTCGATCGCCTCCTCGCGATGGGTTCTCCTTGTGTTTTTCCATTTTATCACAGAAAACTTTTCGGAATTTTCCAAATTGTTTCTTTATGAATAACTAACATTTCTATTTTATCACAGAAAAATTTTCGGAATTTTCCAAATTTTCTTTATGTAACTAACATGCGTATCATTCTTTTTGGATAGCTTTCTGCATTATTCCTCTCTGTACTTGAATGCAAAAGAAAAATGTAATTATATGTTCATGTTTGTTATTTTTATTTCTATTTAGTTATTATTTTTTGGATTACTTGTTTCCTATTATTTACCTCTTTCTTTATCTATTTATCTCTATCTTTATATTAATGTTTCAATACATATTTGCATAATTATATAATAGCAAGAAAGCAAGAAAATTAAATAGTTTACAAGTCAAAAAATGATTAATATAGGATTCGATATGATTATGACAGTATGATACAAGTCTATTAGTCTGATATAATGCATGGTAAATGTAGGAAGATAATTTTTTCAAATTATTTGGTTACATTGTACTTTCTCATCAATTAGTTTGTCATTTTATGTACTATAATTTATGTATATATAATATATAATCATTGATTACATTTATATATGTATTTTGCAGATATATTTCCTATAAATTTTGAAGGAGCAAAATTGGTTGTAAATAAGGGATTGAGCAACCATTTCCACATTTCACACACTATTAATATGAGTTCTGTAATACAGTCTGGCTACAGGTAAATAATTGTGGATATACTCATTAGTTTTGATTATTTTATTTGTTTTACGACAAATTTCAGTATACTTAACTAATTTTTCATGATATTTAACTAATTTTTCAGATTTGGCGCGACTTATGTTGGTACAAAACAAATTTCACCTACAGAGGCATATCCTGTATTGTTGGGGGATATTGATCCAAGTGGAAATCTTAATGCTAATATCCTTCATCAGCTTGGTGCAAGACTCAAAGGAAAATTGGCAGCGCAAGTACAGAGAAATAAATTCACAGCTATGCAGATGACAGCTGATTATAGAGGTGATGCGTATACCTGCTCATTAACATTAGGCAATCCGGACATTCTTAATTGCTCTGGTAAGTTGACAATTAAAAATATTATTGAGTGCATGAATTATCTATATTAAATATTGTCAATTTATTTTCAGGCGTACTTGTTTTACATTATTTACAAAGCTTGACACCATCACTCGCATTGGGTGGTGAACTTGCATATCAGCGTGGACCTGGTTTACCAGGTGGACAAATCGCATTATTATCTGCTGCAGGGAGATATACAAATGGTGATTCCACATTTAGTGGTAGTCTTAGTAAGTAGTCCTCATTTGCTCGATAAATACATTTCTTATGTGATCTCTCATCTCATAATGTAAATCATTATTTTCTTAAGGTCCATCTGCTTGCCATCTTTGTTTTCACCAACGAGCTAGTCCACAATTACAAGTGGGCGTGGAGTTAGAGATCAATGCGCGAATGCAAGAATCGACGGCGACAATCGCCTATCAAGTCGATTTACCTAAAGCGGATTTAGTGTTTAAAGGTATGTTGGTGTTCAAAATTGCGCTACACAATCTTATCCGATTCTCTAATTTAATTTCTCACGTGTCACAGGTAGCGTAGATACGACTTGGACGGTAGGAGCAGTCCTAGAAAAGAGGCTACAACCGTTACCATTTTCATTTGCGCTTAGCGGTATGATCAATCACAGCAAGCAGCAATTCAGACTGGGTTGCGGTCTAATCATCGGTTAAAAACGACGCTTGGTCAAGCGATTTATGAAGATGCAGATTCAAAGTAAATCGGGAACTCCGCTTTTCTGTGCAGTCGGACAATCGTGTCATCTTAAGATCCACGATTCCTTTCCGATCTCAACAACTGGCATGTCGCGTTTTTTGTTAAAACTATATAACTCATGTTAAGTGATCGTGTTGATTTGATTAAAAAAAATCTATGCAGATTCTCGGATTGAATTTTTCGTTTTAATACACTGTCCATTTTTTTTATTTTTTGTCTACAACAATTTGTCTGGAATATTGATAACAGATTTAAAAATTAAGAAAGATAATAGGTCGTAAATATACTATATTTTTTGTGGAGGATTCACGTCCAATAAAATTCAAATATATTTTCATGAACATAAAATAGACGAAATAGATTTTTTAAAGATGCGTTTATGTATATGGACATACATATTCTAAACAATTACTAAATTTGTCAGAGTATGTTAATTTCAGTTGGATATCAAAACTTTCGCATTCAATTTGCAAAAGCTACATGAGCAAAATATATTGGACAAAATATTGAAACAAAGATGTCGAATAACGATTGATTAAAAATTTTTGTTATATTATACCAATATTAATGTTGTAGATACTCCATAATTGTGAAGATATAGAAACATTTATTTCAAAGCAATAGTCACTCTAAATTCATTATGAAATATTACTTATATAAACATACTGATTAACTTTCTAGATTTTTCTTATTGATGTAACAAATAGGCAAAGTATATACTTATACATATTTTATATTCATGAATCCTACTATGCAATTTTGGCATTTATTCAAATAGTAATTTTCTTTATGTCATGAAGATATAATGCATTTATTATATAAAGGCAATTTTTTGTATTTTTTTTTTTTTTTTTTTTTTTCTATAAATCGATGAATGTGTGTGTTCATTAATTTTATATAAATTTTCCATTTTAGCAATGCACAGTTTATAAGATGATGAAAAGTTCATGAACATTTGTGTTCATATATTTTAATCTGTGGAGACTCTATTATCGAAAAAAATTATTGTAAATAATTGTCATAAAAAAATATGATAAACTGTCATGTACCACGCAATGTAATGACGGTAATGTAATGACTGTATATAACATTATGAGGCAATGCCTGCTTTGTGTCTCGGTCCACGCATAATTTCCTATAAATGAATGAATGCGTAAATGTAAAACATCTTTAAAAAAATATTCATAAACCGAAATATTCTCCTTCTGCAACATATACGCATTCGTGGAACGAAACACATGTAATTTTTTCCACGAGATAATTAATTGATTGGCAAAGTTTTTATTACAATAGGTTTTTTTGGGTAATATTCTCGTGTTAATTACCTTTGACGTAAAATCCATCCCTAAAATTACAATAGCACGCGCGGAGAGATCTACGTCGTTTCGTACTCTTTAATCTGCTTGTACACAATTTTCTTGTAAGTACGACAGAATAAAGTTGTATATTGTTGAACAAAACCAGCGTGTGAAGTAAAAAGATTTATATACGTTAGTTTTTATAAAAAAAAAAAGAATATGTTTCGAGAGGAGTATGCAAACGTATTGTGTATTTTATACTTCTCGGACGGATAGATCGGGTTCCTGAGGTCAGAGCACACAATTGCGAGTTTACTTCCCGGAGAAAACAATAAGCAATTAGCGCGGGGATCATTAAAAGTTCGAGGTGAGTCTCGTGTATGGTGCGCTTGTAATTGTAAAGCGGTCAAACTCGCAAATGTATCAAGGCTGGCTTGCAAATGTCGCAATACTTTTAACTCTTGTCAAGCGTTAAAAATACATATCGATGCTAGTCGATATTTTTGTTTAGAAGTAGAGTTAAAATAATAATAATTTTACATAATTAGAAAAAATATATTCATATTTTACTTGTAAAGAGGGAAAGAAAGAATTTTTCCTGCATCGATCAAATGAAAAGATAAGCTAAAATAATTTTTATTATTTATAGACGTCTTTATTATATTTATTATTATTTTTTATGTTATTAATTTTTTTAATAATTCCGTGCGTTTTGTAAGGAACAAACAAAGTTTCAGTTATTCCTACAATGAATATTATTTTCATTAATTAAATTAGTATTAATGAAAATAATATTCATTGTAGGAATAACTGAAACTTTTGTTTGTTCCTTACAAAACGCACGGAATTATTAAATCATTTATTTTCTATGTAATGTTAAGAAGCATATTTATTTTGAAATATGCTTTCACATAAGAAATATTAAATTTATTAATTGCAATTAATTGATGAACTTAAGTTATTAAGTGTGTTAAGCGAATTTCTTCTCTTTAATGACTACGCATACGACAAGAAATTGAATGTAATGTTTATGTACCGAAGGATTACGATCGTTCGAGGTGATTTGAATGCTTTACTATGCGCACGAGCATTGTGTGATCTTGTTTATAAAATAAATATAGTACGTGCGCGTAGAAATGATTTGCATGATTTCGATAAATTAAATCTTCCGTCATATGTATAAAAAAAAATCCATTTTTTTTTTTACAGAAATGATAGTTCTTGAAAGTAATGCATGCAAAATAATTTGATGATAAAAAAAATCTCAGTTAAATCGCTGGCATATACACACGTGTGCCAGTAATAATCAATTGGATGAATGAATGAATGAACGAATGAATGATCGATCGATTGTAGGAACGGAATGAATGGACAAGCTTGTCCTTGACAGCCGAGTATCTGTAACCTGGCACTCTCGAAACAGTCGCTCACAACAGCCGTTTGCTTATATACTTGCTTCAACTTCGCCGACCCTGTAAATAATCTTCCCTCTCCCATTATATGTATATCGTAGGTCCTCATTATATATGTACAGTATTTCTCCGTTTTTGATTTATCATTCAGAAAATGTTTAAAGATAAAATTTCATAGACAACCCCAGAAAGAAAAAAAAGGTAATAATTTTCTCTTAATCTGACATTTATTTATGTTCAATAAAAAGCAGGCAAAAATTATACAAATCATATAATGATTTCATATAAATTACATGAGAATATAAATATTTTTTGTACATTGTAAATATACGATACACAAATCGCACACTGTACATGTATATATACGTTTTGTGTAAATTTCTAACATATTAAATTAATAATTTTTGTACGTATTTATATATCAATATACTTCAGCACATTTTAAGACACATGTTGATAAATTCTTATATTTTTGAAATCGCAATTAATTAAAAATTCTTTAAGTTATATGTTAGAAATTTATATACAGCATGACAAAATTCCATAAATGTATATAAATAAATAATACATGTTTCGCGAATTTTAACATATTGTGTCAAGATATTTATACATCATATAATTCAGACTTTTTTGTTTGATACTTCGATATGTGTTAGAAACAAGATTAACAATAAATCGGTTCATGAAATATTAAATCAATCGATAAAAATTAAATTTAGAAGTTTTATATTTTTAAAAATTAAATTAAAAATGTTTTATTGTTTGTTTAACCAAACAGTCATGATGTATGAATATCCATAGATGCGATGCGTATATTTCGAATATGCCTGAATTGGTGCAAGTTCACGGCATTCATGACGTCAGAATGAATACCTGTGAATTTGGCAAACAAAGTTTATGTCATAAGTCACATATCTAGACGTTGCATGCTTCGCGTGCATAAGTATTCCGAATTTAATTTCACATTCTACTCATGATTCTTATTATATCTATGGATAGAGAAACTTTCTGTAAGTAGTGCGAAGTAATCTATTAGTATTGTTTTGAACACAGCCAACACAGGTCATACTTTCGGCAACGATGGGTCGTCGGGATTTCGAAGAGAAAAAGGTAACAATTTTTGATACATAATGAAACTTTGAACTCAGCTTCTAGCTTTGTGCTGTCACAATATAAATCTTTTGTCTCTGGTACTTCTCAATTTTAATATCAGAAAATATTTTCGCGATACAAATTTATTTAGTATTTTAAGACACAGTATTTATTTCAGAAAGAGAATAAGGAAAATATCTTTTTTATATAAAAACAGATATATATTTATTGTCAAATGTCGAATATGATATAGGTTGTGTTATAACAAATATATTTGCATGTGTCTAAATATCAATATAAATATCGCAATGTTGTGAAAAAAAATGTTTAAGATCAATTTAACTGACGGTTAAAATTAATAGGTTAGCCAATAGTATAAAAATTAATAACATTCGTAGACACACGAATAAATTTGGTTTTGGCAACCCTGCTAATTTTAACTCTGAAATTGGCCCCTTTCAGTGACTTCACGTCACATAAATAATATCCATAAACCCCTCTCACGATTTCTATTGTATCTATGACATATAGACAATTTCTGATATAGTACAAAATAATCTATGACTGTCTCATCAATCACAGGTCATATCCTTTCGAAGTGATGGTCGAAGACGCAAGGATGAGAGACAGAACGCGAGGTAAGAAATAATTTCGTTAACAATAAACTCCGACAGAGAATTCAAAGTATAGTTTACGCGTATAGAATATCAAAGCGCAATATTAAAAGCTAACAAATTTGAATTGGCGATATTAATCGCGATCGAGAGCGTCATTAATTCTCCGAAAGCTGCAAAGCGCGCGCGCGGTTAATAAAACTGCAATAAAATTACACCGCGGGACGATGCATATAAATTCCAGCGAGTCACAAAACTGGCAGCGCGCACAGAAGCCGGCAAGGAAAGGGTACAAAGGGGTGGTCGCTCTCTCCCCTCCTCCACCCGTTTGTCACTGATAAGGAAACCGCGCATGACGGAGAGGGAGGTAGATGAGTATAGAAATTACGCGATAATAATCCACCGCGCGCGCGCGCGATTTTACTACTCCCTCTTGCGCGCCCCCACCACGTGGCCACTGCTCCGACTTCAACCCACCCCTCCCCAGCTGTCACTTGGCTCGCGGCCGCGGTTAGTGTCAGTCGCTCTCTCTTTCTCTCCTCGCTACTTCTCTCTCGCACACTTCCCTCTCTCATACACACACACACACACATTTCACCCCCTCTCTCTTTCTCTGTCTTACTCTCCCGCTCTTTATATTCATCCTCGCTCCTACCCAACCCTTCTTCGTTTTCGTGGCATCCTCGTCTCGCCTGCGCCAACGAAACTTGCATCGCCGGAGGATTGCAATTGCTCTCTCGCTCCCCTTCTTTCTCTTTCCCTCTTTTTTGCTGTTTTACCGTTCTTTCTCTCTCTCTTTCTTCCTCCGTTTGCTCTATGTACATAATATACACGAGCCTCGCTCCCGATCATAGAGCACAGTGGCGCGGGCTCTCGTATAGCCAAGCAAAAGTCGCCGGGATCTTAATTTTCGTCTAGTCGCCGATCGGGGTACGCACACATAATCGCTCCCTTTAATCTTTCGGGTACGCGCGAAAAACGATAGAACCGACACGCGATTCTTCAAAAGTGAAACGTCGTCGGAGTCGCGCGGTCATCCTCGCCAAATCGAAGTAAAGTGGTCGGAATCTTTCTTCTCTCTTCTGACGGATAGTGCGAATTCCAGATCGGCTGCGAAACAAGGGAGGAACGACGAGGGAGATAAACATATACTGGACAAGAGCACGCGCACTCGAGAAGAGGAAACAGGAGTAATCCCGGGATGAAGAGGAGAAGGAGCGACGAGGACGTGAAACCGGCAGCTAAATATCGACATCGGGAATACTGTGAGTGATACTAGCATTTTTATTTGAAAGTGATTTTTCGTGGTCTCGCAGACAGAGAGAGGGAGGAATGAGATTTTACTTGCGATCGCGACTTGACAAATCGATCGAACGAATTCACGTTCAGGATCTTGCGGACAAAATTGCATAAATACACGGTGTGTCTCACTAAAAAACGCTTAACTAGGCCGGTGGTCCGCGAGTCACTGGAGGCCAGGAACCGGTCGTGGAGGATGTATATACGTTGGATATCAGAGTGATAACGCCGCCCCTAGTTTCTCGCGATAACGCTCGCCGGTATAAAACATGCACATGCTGTGGTGCAGCCGCCGGTTGCATTCAGCATCCGCGGTAAAAAAAAAAAAGGAGGTAAAAGTTCGTATAAATATAATATTCAAAAATGCATTTTTTTCACGTTACAATCATATTTGAGTTAAAACCGAAGATAATTATGCGTATTATTTTATTTCTAACGTTAAAGGAAAATAATTCTCGTATCTCAAAATAATTTATTCCCCCTGTGTAATTCAAAGACATCTCACGTTAAGATATAATGAATATTGCATATAGAAAAATAATTCTCATATCTCAAAATAATGCATTCCCCTTGTGTAATATTTCAGAGACATCTTACGTTTAAGATATAATAAATATTATACAGAGGGAATGAATTATTTTAAGATATGAGAACATTTTTTTCCACTATTTTGTTGCAAATAAAAACTATGCATTTTTGGATATTTATGTTTAAAGGAACTTATTTGTTTTTTCGGAATAGCAGAAACGCTCCTGACATAGCAGCCCACATTTTGTTACACCCTATATTCAACCTCTACACAAGTCAAATTCCTTAATAACACTTAACCGCGGAATGTCAATAAATAAAAGTATTCTTCACACTTTGCTACATAGCTCGATATTATAAACATCACTCCAGATTCATGTAAATATATCAGATCAGATCATAATTTAGAATTGAGAGAAGCGCTTTTTCAACGTGGATAATTTAACTGCTGCATATTTACAAAAAACAGAAACAGTTAGTTGCATATATGTGTAAGCTCTTCTTCAATTATTTTGAAAATATCTAGAGATAGGAAATCACTAACTTTTTGTCTTTATTTATTTTTTTTGCTATTTAATTAATCTATTCAATAACATGTATGTATGTAATTAAGAAAGAGTTATATTGAACTTTTTGAAATTTCTGAAATAAAATATGCATTCCTTCTCATTGTCAGATTGATTTTACAGGTAATCTAAAACTTAATTTTTTGAAGATATTCTATGTTTTCTATTTATTTAAAGTTGATTTCGCGAATGTCTCTATATGTTACACATAATTTACGATTATTATAATTATTATTACAATTCGATATTATTGGGGCGAGTTATGATTTTTTTTCTCTCTCTCTCTCTCTCTCTCTCTCTCTCTTGCGTCTGCAGATAATTTTAACATGATATACTTGTTGAATATTTTTTGTGATGCTGTAACGCAATGATAACAGTTTATGATAAACGACTGCATTTAGTTGCGGTTTGTAATGTATAATTATCGAATACTCTCGATTATCGATTAAAACCACATAATAATCAGTAATAAAGATAATAAACCGCAAAGTATTGTATATGTATGTATTTGATGCTGCTGATTATAGGCTACAATAATTTGATTGTCTTATAAAAAGGAAAATATTTAATATTACGTCAAAGTAAGTATTTGCTTATTTATTTAATGCAATAAGTTATCAACATATATTTATGTTATATAAACGTTCGTGCAAAATATTTGCGTGTAGGAAAACGCAGTAGATATTTATCTATATTTTATTAAAAATGCAGTGCTTTATACACAAAGCTCTTTGCTTCATTTATTTTCATTCTGGTTTCGTTGCTCAGAACGAATGAACTACTCGCAACGGTATGACGGGCGATTCTGTTATACTTATTTCGCAAGTACAAGTGCATCGCTAGCACCTATAACGGTCACTTTGGCCATTCCTTCGAGTAGTTGAATTTTATCGGCTCGATCTCGTCAGGGTCGCGCCATTATTTCTATTTAAACACTTGCTCGCTGCGTCACATGTCTCCTGAGTCATTCACAGTGCGTGTCATTTTGTGACGTTCAAAGACGAGCCGCCGATCGCTTTTCGATTCGTATATCAGACTCGTTTCTCGTTCGCGAAAAACATCTTTCCCGTTTCGTTTACTTATATCGGGTGTCTGCTCCCTGATAAAATCGGGAATACCCGAAGATTGTCAGAGATTTTTTTTACTCCGAAAAATTCGGAAATTCTCGCGAAATTTTATTGAGAATCGGGAATTTTTTTCAAAGTTATGTCTTTGATAAAATATTAGAAAGCGCATACAAAAAAGAATTTATTTGAAAAAGCTGTATTTAGAAATTTTTTAAACGAAAATACTTGGAAGATCAGGGAATTCTTCGAACATTTTTTTTATAGAATTTGAATAGACATCCTGTAATCGGATTCACTGACTCGAAGGAAATAAATATAACGTAAAAAATAAACAAATTGAAAGCTAAATCTTACGATTATTTTTTCGAAGTACAAAAATAACACGCGCATGCAAAAGATATTTCCGCAAACTGTTGCAAACATCGCGAAGCACATCGACAAAACAAGTTTTCTTTAGTTTTCATGATATATTTTAGTTTATGGATTATTTAAATTATAATAATTTTTTTTGTGGATTTCTGCTTAGTAAAGCAACTCGAATATTAATGAATGGAAAAATTATTATGCGTTACTCAATTGTCATGTCGAGATCCTATGAATCACGTGTGCGTCTATACAAATCGACCGCTTTGCTTTTAATTAATACCATAATATAACTTTGGTCCCCGGTTATTTTCGAGCCGTAACAAAATTGTCGTAACATCGATATACTTTCGTTGTTTCATCCATATTTGTTATTTCGTCAATTTAATAGAACTCTTGTCTTTATCAAACATTTTGACACTGGTCGAAAATTTAAAGGACGCTTATTAAGAAATCATTTTCAATTTTTTTATACACGATTAACCTATCGATCTCCACAAACATGTATGCCAAGTTTAATAAATATATTTTATTTGAAGAGAAAAAGAAAAATAGAAAGAGAGAGAGGAGTAAAGATCTCGAAAAAGATCTTATCGCGTTGAGTCAGGCGATTTCGTATATACATGTATATTTCATTTCGTAACTATCTTTACGTAAATATGTCGAAAGAGCAAAATGTCAAGTTCGTCCGTGTGAGATGTTTTTACAGTTTTGGTCAGATGATAAAAGTACACAAAAAAAGTATTTCCCCGTACAAGAATCTGATTCAATTTTTATTACGAGTTTTTTTAAACGCTTTCGCTACAATTGTATTCATTATAATTGTGTTCGCGTGTAAAATAAAAAAAAATATCTCACAATGTCGCGCACGAAATATAAGAAATATAATAATTGAAAATATAATTTGAGAAGCTGAGTATTTTCGAACTAATAATTTTTTTTACATTGTTCGGACTCTTATTGTTAAAATCGTCGTAATAACCGGTTCGCTGAAATGCTCAAGAATGTAAATGTGTACGACTGTTTTAACATGACGTTTCAGAACATTATTGACATAAAATCAAGTAGCTGTCACAAGAAATGAGCCATACTTGATTTTTGCATTTTGAAAAGTCAGGAACATACATAAAATATTACAAATGAAATATTAATTAATCAATGATTTGTTTTTATTAATAAAATATTTGAGATAGATTACCTGTCAAAATACATATAATATTATATGTATATTTTATATGAATTTAATTTGATAATTAATTACCTATATTTATCTGAAGTTTGTGATCCCGTTTTTTAATATACAATTGATGAATAGGTCTAGTTTTACTATAATCCTATTAATATCATAAATAAATGATGAATAATCGCAATAGCATCGCATATATTTATCAGTTTCTAGTTTAGAATTTGCAGATTAATCATCTGTAATTGATATAAACTAATTATCTCAAAAATTATTGAAGATGATTCAATCACGATTTCAATTATATACATGTATAAAATTATGTTCAACATTTAAGATATCTAATAAATTTCTTGATTTTTTTACGTTTTACAGTATATAAAATATAGAAAATATATATAGTCACTTATTAATAAAAAAAAAGTGAATAGACACAAAGACTTATTTCTTAATTGGAAACTCAAATTCAAATAGTCAACAATTTTGAGATGATCAATATTTACGCGTCGACCTCAATATTTAGTGTTTAAATAATTCAAGTATAAATAATTCGAGCTTGAAAAAAATAGAACGTAAAATTTTCGGAGGAATCTTGTACGGCGCCAGAAAACTTTCAGAAAATTTAGAGATGATCGTAATCGTTATCTTTGTCTACCAAGTTGCCTTCGTCGAAGGCCTGAATATTCGCCATACAGTCGAGTACTTGTGCCTGAGTCGGGTTAAACTACGAGGTCATGATGGCGCACAAAAGTCACGGTTCATGTAAACCGATGTACATTAAATAATCGTCATCTTTATATCGATAGTAGTCGTTGCCGTCATCTTCCACATCTTCGCCCTCGTTCCTTGGATGCATCGACGCGCTTATACAGAGTAAATTATAACCTACTGTAATCTATAGAAATCATCCGCATAAAAAATTATTTAATATATATTATATAATGTATTAAATGACATTTCTATGTTTAATATAATTTATAAATAATATTATTTAATTAATATTACATTTATATGTATTTATTATTATATTATATATATTAAAGAAAATAATATATGACATTATGATGACTTATCTAAGTAAGGCAAAGGAAATAATCCGGGTCGATCGAGTGTTATGTGGTTTAGGTTGCATATTGAAGTTATGACTTTTTCTGCTGATTGCATGGGCCATAATTAACATTGCTCGATAACGGAGCACAGTGCATTCCTCATCGTAGCCGCTATTCGAGTGAGTTTACGATTCTCCTTCGTCCTCTCTT